TAGTCAGAACATGGCTCTTGGTGGCGTTCAAGATGAGGCCTCGGGACTTCAGCCAACCGGCCAGAGCAGTTGCCGCTGTGGTGAGGGTTCTGGACGCTTCCGCCGCTGAGGCCTGGGAGTCGTGCAGGGCTATGTCATCTGCAAATTGTACACTTGGCACAGGCGAGGAAACCAAAGGGACATCGCGTGTGTATATACTGAAGAGAACAGGGCCGAGAACAGAGCCTTGGGGCACTCCGCAGGTGCAAGCCAGAGCAGGGCTGGTTGAAGGCGAGATGAGGATCTGCTGCTTGCGGCCAGACAAGTAGTCGACGAACCAACTAAGGGCTTTTCCAGAAATTCCAACCGCAAGGTCTTGAATTAACTTGTCGTGGTGCACTTTATCAAAAGCCTTCGACATGTCTAGTAGGCACAGCCCTGTGGTCTTGCCACTGTCTCTCGCCTTCTGCAGATTATCAGTCAGCACACGGAGGGTGTCTTCCGTGGAACATTTCTTGCGGAAGGCAAATTGTGTTTCGGGTAATGCCTTGGTCATGTCCAAATGACGAACTAACTGGTGTTGCACTACCCTCTCCAGCAACTTGGACACTATTGGGAGAAGGGATATAGGTCTATAGTTGGTGGGGACTGATGGGTCACCGGCCTTGTGCAGTGGCACGACAGACGCCAATTTAAATGCGGATGGAATGGTTCCAGTCCTGAGCGAGGTGCAGAACAGCACAGCAAGAGAATATACAAGCAAGTCAGCACACTGCTGTAGCAGAGAGCCCGGTATGCCGTCACTACCTGTGGCTTTCCGTGCATCCAACTTCTCAAGGAGACGTCGGACGTCAGCAGGAGTCACAGGATCAAGTTCGGTCAAGGAGATGGGTCCAGCGGGACCGTGCGGGGTACAGAGTTGTTCACGACGGTTGGGATCGGTGACAATGGAGTGAAACGTGTCGGCCACCTCACTGATGCTACAACTAGGGTCTTGGCGGCGACGTGAACGCCCAGTGACTGCATTTAGAATGGCCCAAGGCTTCCTAGGGTTGGCCACATTTTCTTCGCACTGACGGGAGAAGTACTCGTTTTGCTTGCGCCGATACGCGTTCCGAACAGTGCTACGTGCTTGTTTAAACTCTGCATACAGTGTGCCGTTTGTCCTATCCTTCCGCCAATGGCTGTGCAGCCGCCGTTTACGCTGTTCAAGCTGGTGCAGCTCTCTGTCAGACCAGGGAGGTATCGCCCTCCGGGTGTTGCAGTGTGACACGTACTCCTTACACAATGGATAGTAGTCCCGGTGACGTTGATGCGTCCGCCCAGGCTGGTGTGGATAACACCAGTGGCAGCAGCAGTGGCAGTAGCAGTGGCAGTAGCAGTGGCAGTAGCGGTGGCAGTAGCAGTGGCAGTAGCAGTGGCAGCAGCAGTAGCAGTAGCCGTGGCAGTAGCCGTGGCAGTGGCAGTAGCAGTGCCAATGGCAGTAGTAACAGTTCTGCAGCACCGAATACCGGTAGTACTTCACTCAGCAGACCCGCGGAAGTCAGTAAGCTACCACCTTTCTGGCCTACGGACCCCAACCTCTGGTTCGCCCAGGTAGAGGCCCAGTTTGCCACTCGTGGCATATCTGCTGAGCTTACCAAGTTCAATTATGTAATTTCATCTTTATCGCAAGAGTATGCGCATGAGGTTCGCGACATTTTGTTGAGGCCACCAACCGTCGAGCCCTACACGCACCTCCGGGCGCAGTTGATAGCTCGCCTGAGTGCCAGTGCACAGAAGCGGATTCGCCAGCTCCTTATGGATGAGCAGTTGGGCGACCGCAAGACGACACAGTTACTCCGGAGTATGCAACGCCTCCAGAGCGATACACCCCTGGACAGTGACTTACTACGGGAACTGTTTCTCCAACGGCTACCATCTAACGTACGGATGGTCCTTGCGTCTGCCAGAGATCTGCCATTAGAGCAGCAAGCTAAGTTGGCCGACAACATTATTGAGATGGCCACCCAACCACCCATCGCCGCTGTGCCCACAGGCTATCAATCTATGCCAGCCACATGTGCTGTACAACCTGCTGGACACTCCACCACCGTGCAATCTCAAGACATCCAGTCCACTATTGCCACATTGGTCAGCCAGGTGTCGGAGCTGAGCGCTGCCGTTTCCCAGCTTTCATGTAGCCGTTCCAACTCTCTGTCCGAACCCCGTTCCCGTGCGCAGAGCTTCTCACGACGGGAATCTGGCCTGTGCTGGTATCATGCCAGATTTGGAGCTAAGGCCACGAAGTGTACATCCCCCTGCACCTACGCGTCGGGAAACGGATCCGCCAGCCACTGATGGCGACCGGTGGTTCTGGCAGTCTGATGTTCGTCCTCAACCGACTCTCGGGACAGCGTTTTCTGATTGATACTGGCGCTTCCGTGAGTTGTATTCCGCCCTCTGCTGAGGACCTGCAGCGCCCCCTGGGCCCGCCTCTCCAGGCTGCGAACCAGACATCCATCCGGACTTATGGTGAGCGCTCTTTTTGAGGCCAAAGAGAATGATTTTATTTATTGCGCATGCGTTTGTAGAATGACGTAATACTCAGTGAGTCAGGTCGCTACAGTACTCCCCCGCCAGTGGTGAGGTCGGGAGGAGCGAAGCACGATAAACAAGAAAGAGAAGAGAAAGGAAGCGCAGCATGTACAAGGCGGAAAGGCAAAAATATAATAATATGATACATATGTACAAGCGAGAGCGCTGCGTGTGTGAAATTTGTTAAACAACGTGGCACAAATGCCGAAACAAAAATCAGAAAAGCAGGAAAGAGAGAGATGCATGACAGAGGCGGGTTAACGTGTCAGAGGTGTGTTAACGTGACAGAGGTGGAGAGCATGTCAGAGGCAGAAAGAGAGAAAAGAGGAAAAGTACGCGTGACAGAGGAGTATTATCGTGTCAGAGACGGAAAGAAAGGAAATGTACGCATGACAGAGGAGTATTATCATGTCAGAGGCGGCTGCATGTTGCAGGCTTGGCGGGATACCAGCAGGAGCGCTGCACTGGGAAGAGGCGTGCCGAGTGCGGCGGGGACAGATGGAGGCGAGCGCAGCTCCATGGGGTCCGGTGCCGGGCGTGTGCCTGCGTGCGTGCACAGTGAGGGAGCTGGTACGACGGGTGGAGGTGGCCAATTTCCAGCTTGAGGCCAACGGGACGAATACGGACGACGACGACTGGACGATGCCGTGGCAGGATAGCGGGGTATCCAGGTGGGCCGGGGAGGGTGGCAGGGGCCACAGCAGCTCCGAGGCGGATCCAGTGATGGTGAGGCTCAAGTTTTACGTCAACAGCCGGCGATTGACGGGATCCCGAGAGTTGAGGCAAGCAGGAAACTGCGGTGGGCCGAGATCGGGGATGGCATGCTCAAAACTCCGAAGAGCGCAGCGTCAGGAGTCACCAATATAGGGTTTTACGTTGGGCCCTAGACGACGGCTACTTTGGCCAACCGGACAACGAAGAAGTTGTGACCAAAGAGCTTTGGGTTGTCCATCAATGTGTCAGCCGAGTGTTTGTATGATGGCACCACCTCCCTCAACACCATTCTCTCCCGATCTAGCAACTCGTCTCTTGCACCGCTTTCTCTGCTGCCTCCCCCTACCGCTTGTCCTTATGCTACACTGCTTGCCCGCTATCCGTCAGTTGTCGGTCCTTGCGATGCTGAGCAACCGGTCCGTCACTCTGTAGTCCATCACATTGTGACCCGCGGCCCCCGGTACATGCTAAGGTTCGTTGGTTAGCGCCCGACCGTGTCACAGTCGCTAGGCAAGAGTTCAAACATATGTTGCAACTCGGCATTATCCGGCCCTCATCTAGCCCATGGTCTTCGGCTCTGCACATGGTGCCCAAGAGTTCTGGTGACTGGCGGCCCTGCGGGGACTATCGGGCTCTGAATGCTGCAACTATCCCTGATCGCTACCCGGTGCCACACCTGCATGACTTTGCAGCATCTCTGCATGGCAAGACCATATTCTCCAAGATTGATCTGAAGAAAGCCTATTACCAGATTCCTGTTGCTCCAGACGACATCCCGAAAACTGCCATCACGACGCCATTCGGGTCATTTGAGTTTCTTCGGACGCCTTTTGGCCTTCGAAACGCTGCACACAGTGCACAGACGTTTCAGCGCCTCATCGATGAAGCTCTCCGTGGACTCCCATTTGCCTATGCCTACATTGACGATGGGTTGGTGGCATTATCCCACACATTTACATGAAGACAGTTGACCCGGGTCAAATACTGATTACCGTATTATTATTTTTTTCACGTGACCATCTGAGACTTTTATTACAAAGCACGAAGAAGTGTAAAATTGATTATGCCACCAAAAGTCCACTTCTACAGTCCTGTATGGTCACGTGAATCCGTTCACGCGAAATTTGCACCTGCAGTGCTGTTCAAACCTGGCGCGAGATACGCACAGAAGTACGTTTGTAAGATTTTCTTGACCCGGGTTGATTTCAACCCGGGTCAAGCGCAATGCGTCATGTAAACGCGCCATTCATTTTGTGTACATGGCGGGTTGAAATCTGACCCGGGTTGAAACACTTCATGTAAACACAGCCTAGCCTATTTAGCTCGTAGCTGTACTGATGAGGCCTTTATGGCCGAAACAGCTTGCTGTCTACAGCATTGGGTATCGCGCTCCTCGGCTTTCGCCTTGTTGAGCACTCTCAGTAGGCTGCTCTAGTGCTGCTGCATTGCGCAATGCCCGCTACATTTTGTAGTTTGAGCACTCTGGCGCTAGAGCGACGAGCTACCTTAATGTCTGTGGTGCCTCCTTTGCACCATGGCTGGTAGCTCGGCCTATTTAGCTCGTAGCTGTACTGATGAGGCCTTTATGGCAGAAACAGCTTGCTGTCTACAGCATTGGGTAAACACAGCCTAAATATACGTCAGGTAAAGTTCCGTACTAGCCAGGCAGGGATACTACACATGTACGTGTAGTTCTCAACAAGTTACAAGCTAGCACTAAGACATACCAGTAACAATGTAAGTGAGCATTTCATCAAGTGCTGCTATAAGTTTGTACACACACTTGAGAGGAATCAAAAGCGTTTCTGCTGTAACTCTGAGTTTCACGCATAACATAATGTTGCGGTGCGACTTGGTCCCGCAACTAACCATCGTCAGGCAGACCACAAAAACCCAGAAACTCCTTTAATCGACATTACCACTCGTTTCAACAAGAACACCAAAGAACACACCGAACAACGATCGCCAAATCGCTGTCCTGAGCAAAAACGTGCAGCGTGCGTGCATTTGGCTTGCGCCGCATGCATGCACACAACGCCGTACATATGTACCTGGCATAAGGGAGGTTCTGCTCTACGTTTTGGGAACGCGACGCAAATAATCACGCGAACTTTCTTCGCGTTCCCGTAACGTAAAGAAATCCTGTCCTAGAATTCTGCTTTACGTTTCACCTAGAGAAATCACTTGGAATATACCCCTTCCATATTTGGCAGTTTTCTGCATGCAGTTGATCGATACCCAGCAAATCCGTACGCATTTTCTCTGCGTGTGCCACAACGTAGAGAACCTCATCTCCGCGTAGAAATCTGGAGCCAAAACACACAAAGCCGTAGACTCTAACCCAGACACCTGCTCTCTATGTGATTTCTCTACGTTTCACGTATAGCAGAACCTCTCTTATATAGAGAGAAAATGCAACGTACAGAAAATGCATGGATCATAGCAGCCATAGAGATACTAAATATGGCGACTGCCAAAGTCCGCGTGCAGCTAGCGCGGAGTGCAGGTGCAACGAAAAGAAAAGCAATAATTTGAATGCAGAGCAAACAGAAACTCGCAATCTGCTGAAGTGAAAGAATACAGAATTGTTGATTACGGAGGTAAAAACAGTGTCTGTCAAGGGGTGCTTGCACCCAGCGACAGGGTGACAGCACACCCTGTCAGCGAGAGTAAGTTTCGCCAAGTACGTTAAGTAGATCGTAGCGGAGTTGCCGCGGATGGCGATAATGCAACCGATCAAGTAAGTGACATGTACATGGCAACCAATTAGTGTGTCAACAATTCTACTTATATAATAAATTAGCACAATTCACAAGATATTCCGCTCGTGAACATGTCGTGGTACGAACACGCATAGCAATTACTGTATCATAAAATGTGTCTCGACGTAGACGTAACAGATATGCACTCGTGATGTAATTCTAACAGACTAACAAATAAATATTACACTCGCGAAATGCATAGCAGTAATACGCACCGCACCAATATTGCAAGGGACCTAGCATGTCTTGACAATACTGCCCGTGCAGCATGTGACAGTTCTGTACACAATTCATAACTACAATACACTAATATAGTATCAACGTGCAACATGTGACAATTCTAAAGATTAATGTTCAAGAGCGAAGTCTCCTGTCCACATAACGTAGCTAACATTTGGCAAATGTGACTAAGGAAGAATGGATTTGATGAATAGCATAGCCAGTCAGTAAGATCGAGAACACACAACGGAGAGAGAGAGAGAGAGAGAGAGAGAGAGAGAGAGAGAGAGAGAGAGAGAGAGAGAGAGAGAGAGAGAGAGAGAGAGAGAGAGAGAGAGAGAGAGAGAGACAGAGAGAGAGACAGAGAGAGAGACAGAGAGAGAGACAGAGAGAGAGACAGAGAGAGAGACAGAGAGAGAGACAGAGAGAGAGACAGAGAGAGAGACAGAGAGAGAGACAGAGAGAGAGACAGAGAGAGAGACAGAGAGAGAGACAGAGAGAGAGACAGAGAGAGAGACAGAGAGAGACAGAGAGAGAGACAGAGAGAGAGACAGAGAGAGAGAGAAAGAGAGAGAGAGAGAGAGAGAGAGAGAGAGAGAGAGAGAGAGAGAGAGAGAGAGAGAGAGAGAGAGAGAGAGAGAGAGAGAGAGACAGAGAACAGTACCAGTGCGTGCTGCGTGAAGTGCTTGACACCTCAATCTGTGATGGAGCAAACAGAGATACAAAGACGATCACATAATAGTATACACCAGAGCTAGAATGGATTGGACGCATGCACATGCACACACACACACACACATACATACACACACACACACACACACACACACACACACACACACACACACACACACACACACACACAAACACACACAAACACACACACATACACCCTGAATCCACACTCATGCACACAAATTTAAAACATTTCTGGCGTTTTAAGATGCGACTAGCACTCCGGAAAATATGCTATATAGTAGTACATGCGCTCCAATTTTCCAGTCGTCAGAAACTTTGACTTTTCTCCAATTTGATTCATGCATAACGGATACCTCAACAGTATACTTTCTATCACAGCTGGGACAATATCTGATGAGAAACACAGCATCGCAGCCAAACAACAGACGTACGTTGCAATGACTTATTTTGAATTCAGGTAGTGCAAGAAATGAATGCAACCTACCGTTTACACACGGGCCCGTCGTGGCAGAAGCTGGTTCATCTTGTCGACCGTGTCGGGATAGTTACCCCAGCGTTTGATGATCATCACTAGCTTGATGTAGCCGGCCTTTTCCTCGCTGCTTAGAATGTTGACCAACTCTCCGTTGTGAGTGCGTGTTCCATCTAGTTTCTCAATCCTCTTCAAGTCTTCTATCTGCTGCAGATCGGCGTATAATCCGGCCTCTTGCGCCATTTCACGAAATGTTCCCGCTGGTAATTTGCCCAACCAAGGCAAAATATCGGTTAGAAAGACACGCTGCTGGAATGGGTCGCCGTACGACTTCTCATCCTCGTCTAATCAAGATATACATGGGATAAAAACACACACATGAACAAAAATACGAAAAATGATTTATGGCCAGCCGTATCTCTTAGCCTGTCACCAGGAAACCCTATATATAGGGTTTGACATAACGCTACACATAAAGACCCTATATATAGGGTTAGGACCCCTAAAGAAAGGGTTTGATCAGTCCTCACAACTGGGCACACAATACACACAGTTTCACTTGTTTTTTTTGATATTTTCACTGCATTGCCATTGATGTTAGCAGGAGCGCTCCTACGACGTGCGCGAGTGTCGCCGCATTTGCTGCTTCCGACCCACGTGTGGATCAGCTGATGCAGAAACGGCAATGGCGGGAGCGGCAGCTGCGACAGCCGCTGTTGATGCTTCGCCTTCTTCTTCAGGAGCATCCGACGCTGCTGGAACATCGACATCATCATCCTGAGTCGACACCAGGTCGCCAGGAACATTCTCATCGCCCGAGTTCGTCTCCACTAACTCAAGTTGCTCTTCCTCCATCGTGAAAAATCAAACCCTAGATATAGGGTCTAGAAAATGTTACGACAGCGCTGCACTAAAACTAACCGTACTCGAAGAAAACAGCAACAAAATGATCACGGTCTTCAGCAAGAGAACCGTACGTACATTCTACGTATGTAGGCCCAGGCGTCTAGTTGCCATAGCAGCCAAGTGGGCTCTCAAGAGAGCGCAAGATAGAACGCGCGGCTGAAAACCCTATATATAGGGTTTGACAGGCTAAGAGATACGTTACGTTAATACAGCCAGGTTCTAGAGTGTCGATGTGCGTCACTCCAGTCTGGACCTGTACATCATCAGTGGTTGATCTAAGTACGCTTATACCATGGCAATGGCTAACCTGGCAAGGATTCTTGGCATCTAAATCACTGTTGTGCTACATGCATGTGGCTCCATTTCAGTATGCCATGTATACTTTTATACACACCAAACACTGTATTTAACATACATATACCCAATCTACAGACAGAACTGTTTCATCCTTTGTGGACTTGTCAGCATACAGACACACACATACTGTATACTCTAAAAGCCATTATTCTAACGAGGCGCATATATAACGATTTCCCAAAATCGACTAGTTTACGTGTACCAAAGGTAACGATTCTCACTCATTCTCAATGCTCAATAGGACAGTATATCAGACCTTCGTGTAAGAAAAATCCAGGGGAGTGAACAATCACTCTCGCTATCCTCTCAAGGAGAGTGGTGGGAGAGCAGTCCCCAGCACCCCCCCCCCACCCCAGATCGCTCACCTCATCTACCCAAGGCGAGCCCAAATCACAATACGGGTTTTTCAACATCTTGCCATACCCCAATCGGATTCAATACCCAATAGGTGCCAAATTCATTCCGGAAAATTGCCGTACGCCCTACAAATGGAAGCTGTTCGGACCACAACTTCAGTTTCCCTTCATCAATTTTGCAATGAATCTCAGGCATTCTGGAAAGCTACTGCCCTACTGCCATCGCACCACTCCTCCTAGTCCTACTGCTTGCTAGCTAGCTACTTAAAGCCCTCAGATTGGCCTGATGCCAGCTGGGCTGCCAAAACCACGGAAAAAACTATGGAGCTGCAAAAGTCCCAACTGGCCTCTGCCTGTACAGCCTACTGCTCTTTACTTACCCACTGGATCAGCAGCAGATGCTCCTGCAGACGCTAATGCGGCCTCAGCAGTACTGCCGGGCTGCCCGGAACTTGTCGACGGGTTCCAGCTTGGCCAATAACCTTCTCGCGCTGGCTGGTGGCTCGACTTTACGGATGCATTCAAGGAAGGTATGGAAGGATTCGTCATCACCGGTGCTTAGTGCATCGAGCAATTCCTCATTCTGCGCTGCACGGCCAGTGTTTGATGCAAATAGCTGACGCTGTGCACGCGTAATCAACTTCTTAGCCTCACACTGGCGACGCATATCACCTGGAGTTAGCGTGGAAACCAGGTCAGGCCGAAGTTCTGTGAAGACGTCACTCTCCCATGCTGTCATGTCAGAGAGCTGTTGGTCAAGAGACTCGCCTGAAAATGTTGGCACAACACACACATAGAGAAACAGAATCAGACATTCGTGTAAGAAAATCCATGAGAGTGAACAATCACTCTTGCTATCCTCTCAAGGAGAGTGGTGGGAGAGCAGTCCCCCCCCCCCCAAAAAAAAAGTCGCTCACCATATCTATCCAAGGCGAGCACAATACGGGTTTTTTCAACAT